AAATCCCTGGGCAGCAGGATAAGCTCAGCCATCTCCCAGTAACCAGGGAACCTGCAGGTAGCTCCCACTTGCTTCTGGTGAGGAAGACACCTGTGAGCAAGACGTCCACAGAGAACCTTCTTTTACTGTGACAGTAGAAATGATGAGGAGAATATCTGTCTTACAGGAAAGGCCTGTAATGTTTGGAATGGCTGAAGCAGGGTCACTCTTTGTTGTCCATGAGTGGTCTCTGCATGACATGGTGAGCGTGGCTGGAGTCCTGTGTGAAGCTGCTCTGCTCAGAGTCCTCCACATCTGGAGGGATGTAGGATTCTCTATGCTAACCTCTTCCAACAGCATGAGCTATGATAAATGGAGTTGTGAATGATGTCTCAGAGAGTCAGTGTGTCTCTCCCAGTGAGATGATAAGGAACCTGCAGCTCCTGGTGCAAAAAAAACCCCTAATTCTCAGTTTATTCTACCTGGAGATTCCATGTGTATGATGCAATTCTAAGAGTAGATCGTGTATTACAGCTTTAACCCTATGAGAGGGGAAGGCTGATTCCTGTATCAGAGAGTTAAAGACATGGCACAGCTGTCCCAAAAGGCTTCTTGGAGATGCCCTTTAGGAAGGATAACTTCTTAGGCCTGGTAATAGACAGCCCAACCAAAGAGGATGAGATACTTAGCCTGTTGATCACACACGCAAATAGCTACTCAGAGACGTCAAGACTGGAGGCAGCTTGGCTGCAGTGACCATGCACTGGTGGAGTTCGCAGTCCCAAGGGATATGGGTCAGGCAAAGTGTAAAGCCAGGACCCGGAATTTTCAGAAAACTTCCAGTTCTTCAAGGAGTCAGTTAAGGGCACACCCTGGGAAATTGCCCTTAGGGACAAGGGATCAGAACAGAGTTTTCAGATCTGTAAGGACTCTTTCTAAAGACCCTAAAGTCTTTAGACGCTCTCTGCAGAACAGTTCAATAGTCTTTCCTTTAACTAGCATAGTGTCAGCACGGCTAGAGGCTTTCTACCTTGGGATAGGAAGGGATCCATGCTGCAGTGTGTGACAGTTTTTCCTCCAGAGTCAATCTACATTTGCAATTCTTGCAACAAACTACTCACATATTTGAAGTCCTCTGAAATGTTGTCTTCACCGCCAAAAACCAAGCATACTAAATGAAATAATGCTCTTCACCCAGGAAACAATATGTTTCACATCCTTTATGGGCATTTCTGAAATATTTCCAAACTGGGATTGTTTCCAGGCTCTCCTGTTAAACTTTTGTTTTACTTGCAATTACCCAAGACCATGGATCCTCAAATTCCATTCTGTAATGCAATGTAATGGTTAGTCAGTCAGCTCACCTGCTTACAGAAATGCACGTAGCCCTTGTCCCTGCTCACAAAAGGGAGTAAGCTGTGAATACTGTGTCACAATGTGCTGCAAACACGGGGCTCATTCTTCTCTGGGTCCTGGAGATCTCCATGTCTGTGTACGCTGCACTGGTGCTGCTCAGAGAAGCAGGGAGTTGCACACACCTAACTATTGCAATGTGCACAATTCCCACTCGGCAGGCATGAAGGGTACTGGGACCCTCTGAGGACAGCAGCCACATCTTCTCTGAGGGAGTGCAGCAAAATGCGCGAGATCTTCCTTTGGCCCATAAAAGGGGGTTGGGCGGGTGGGCTGCCTCCTTGGGATTGCCTTGTAAATAAAGCAGCACCAACGGTGTTGGCAGAGGCTGGAAGTGTTCAGAGTTGGGAAATTGTGTTCATTGCCTTTTGGTGCATTGCAGGAAAAGTCCACAAGTTGCTTCAGAGGACTTTGTCTGAAGGCAGGACTGGGATGAACTTGTCAAAGAGCCGTTGAGTTTGTTCTGACAGGGACCCTGGGTGTGCAAATGCCTCTGCAGAGCAGTGAGGTGGGGGGTGTGCCTGTTCCATGTTTCCAAGCAGCTCCAGCTGCAGGTGGCAAATCTGAGGTTTTTCATCACAAATATTTTTAATTCTAAAGGTTTTTGGGAGACAGGTGTCAAAAAGACAGAACACGTGTTCCTTTAGAGAATGTCTGCAGGGGTCCCAGGAGTTTGGCAAAAACTACTACCAGGGAGAGGATTCCCTCTGAGGAAATGCAGAGGACTACAGCCATCCCTTCAACAAAAGCCCCGATGAACAGGGAAGTCTTGAGGAGAGAGAGGCTGATGTAGCAAAGCTGACCAGGTGAACCTTGTATATTGAGGAGTGAATGATCCAGTGTCCAGTGAATCTGGGAAGGTGCAGGCCTGTGCTGTGCTCTTCTGCTTTGTGCTGCACAAATCCCTGGGCAGCAGGATAAGCTCAGCCATCTCCCAGTAACCAGGGAACCTGCAGGCAGCTCCCACTTGCTTCTGGTGAGGAAGACACCTGTGAGCAAGACTTCCACAGGGGAACTTCTTTTACTGTGACAGTAGCAATGATGAGTAGAATATCTGTCTTACAGGAAAGGCCTGTAATGGTTTGAACGGCTGAAGCAGAGTCGAGACACTCTTTCTTGTCGGTGACAGGGCTCTGCATGACATGCTGCGCGTGGCTGGAATCCTGTGTGAAGCTGCTCTGCTCAGGGTACTCCACTTCTGAAGGACTCTCTACGCTAATCTCTTCCAATTGTGTGACTGTCCTGGATTCAGCCAGAATAAACTTTCCTTGGGCTAAGAGTCAGCACAGTTATAGGGCCAGACCCCGTTCAGACATTGGAGTATTCCATATCATGGGGGACGTCATGCTCAGTATATGTAGGTGGATGCGTGCTCGCTCATGCCCCATTTTGGTTTTGGTTCCTCAGTAGCATGGTGGGATGTCTGGGCAGTCGGATCCCTGCTGTTGGGTGCGCTGCGTACCAGTCACCG